ACTATCAACACTCATGGAAGCAACAGTCAAGAAATCAAGTAACGTATTGCATTAGGCAAATCTGCTGCACAAGACCTCTTTAAAGTGTTGAAAAGTAAAGATGTTATTTTGAGGACTAAGGTGCGCCTGACCCAAGCTGTGGTGTTATTAATAACCTCATATGCATGCAAAAGCTGGACAGTGAATAAGGAAGACCGTTGAAGAATTGATGGATTTGAGCTTTGGTGTTAGAGGAGAATATTAAAAGTACCATGGACTGCCAGAAGAACAGATCTGTGTTGGATGGATTGGCACAGTGGCAGCAGAGATGGGTTTATGTGTAGCAATGATTGTGAGTTTGGCCCAGGACGGGGCAGTGCTTCCTACTGTTGCGCACGCAGTCGTTATGAGTTGGTGTCGACTAGATGGCACCTAACAATAACAACAATGGCTAATGATCACAAGCATGTCTTCATGTGTTTGTTGGCCACCTGAGTTTCCTGTTTGGTGAAGTGTCTGTTGAAGTTCTTTGCTTATTTTGAATTTGGGTTGTTTTGAGTGTTTTTTATACTAACTCAGGAAGGTGTTAGGTGGGTGCAGGATGGGGCTCCCTCTCCAGGAGAGAGGTGGAGAATGTGGCTAAGGTCCTGGCTGTGTCTTCTGGAATTCATCCCTCTCTTGGTCCGTACATACTCATGAGCCAAGCCAATCAGGACACCTGAACATCTCCACCGGCTGGGCCTCTCCTAGACACATGCCCAGAAATCTCCTGGCTTCTATCTCCTTCTGCTTCTTTGCACTTTTATGTACACAAGGTCACACAGTATTGCTGTTTTAGGTCATTTCATAGTACCACCCTTACTTTTTTTCTTCTGTCTCTTAGTTAAAGCACTGTGCTCCCTTGTCCATTATAATTTCCATTAGGTTGACGTGTAACCCATGTAGTGTCACAGGGTCCTCAGTTCCGTGTAACAAAAAATATTACTGTTTTTTTAAGTTGCATTATTGTTACTGTTAAGTGTCGTCAGTAGGTTCTGACTCATAGTGACCCTGTGTAAGGTTTCCAGCCAGTGGTGGGAGTGAACCGGCGACCTTGTGGTTACCAGGCCTTGTCTTACTCTACAGCGCCACACCAGGATGCCTAGTTCCATCCATGTTGCTATTGTTAAGTGCCGTAGGGTCGTTCAGACTCACCGAGACTGTGTAGAGTTTCTTGATCTATTTTCAGAAGTAAGAAAGTTGCGCTTTGGGGGCCAGGCTTTACCCCAAGGCTAGAAGGGGTTGGCAGTGGTTGAGGAAAGATCCCCTTGTAGATGGTGGAAGGGTAATGGGTCATTCCCTCCATTTCCCTGCCTCCAAAAAGGTCCTCCCCAATCTTCAGTGCCCTTGCCTGTCCACCAAGAGCTAGGTTCTGCCCTCCCCACCTCAGTTTTCCGGCTTGTCCACCCGGGGGCTGGTCTCCTCTGACTCTGTTTCCCTCTCAGTTGTTCTGACCTCCGTTCCATCTCCTAGCGACCCTTTGTAGGGTTCTCGGAAGCTTTCAATCTTCGTGAGAGCAGCAAACCTCGTCTTTCTCCCACAGAGCGGCTGGCAAGGGCCTTTGTTTCCGCCCCTCCACTACCTCAGTTTCCCTGTCCCTCTACCAGCCGCTGGCCTCCCTCTCTTCTTCCTCCTCGCCGCCCCCCAGCGCCTCACTTTTCCCACCCGGCGCCGTTCGCTCAGCCTCAGTTTCCCTAACCAGAGTCGACTGCCCCCCTTCAGCTTCCCCGCCCGGTGTCTGTACCCTCCTCCGCCTCAGTTTCCCAGCTTGGCGCGGGTCTCCGGGCCTGTTTCCCAGCTCGGTGTCGGCACCCCCTCAGCGTTCCCGCCCGGTGTCTGTCCCCCTTCCCCCCAGCGTCCCCGCCCGGGTGTCTGTCCACTTCCCAGCGTCCCCGCCCGG